TTGCTTTATTCGGTTTTTCTAGTATTTGTTGTTATTGTATTTCTTTTCCACTAATTGGCCATTAAATTCTTGTTTGTTTTGTATGCATTTTGTCTTTCATTGGTTGTCATTCGCTACCTCCCTTACTCGCGCGGCTCGGTCACAGTAAGTTAAAATGGTAAAACAACAAAGTAAAGAAAGGAAACTTACTGCTCTTTGGTTTGTAGAAGGACATCAAGCCAACAAAATGTTGTAAAGGGATCCTGTAAGAAGGCTGTAGCAAAATATTAAATTAACTCTTAGCAATTTGTAAATATGTTGATTATTTAAATAAAAGGTGTTTTAACTGCATCACTTTGATACGTGAAGCATATGGAGGTAGCATGGCCAGTGGTTAGAGTGCTGGACTTGTAATTTGAAGGCCTCATGTCCCAGCCCTGAATGCTAGTAGCTGGATTGGTTCTCAGAAGTCCCGAGTTCAAATCCTCAGCCAGGCTTGTAAACAGCCAACTGGTTGGCATCCTACCATTGGGGTTTTTAACCATATTATGTGCCATTTAAATTATTTGTTTTATTATCCCTGCAAAGCTCCATAAGGGGAGTGGATATTTAAAGTATTGTTAATATTAATTATTATTATTAACAAGCATATGTAGATCAAGGCTTGCTGACAAAACAAGGATTACTAAAGAATAAAATAGAATGTGTATAATAATGAAAGTCCATTAAAATTCTAAAAAAATGCCAAGGGGCTGACTTTTGAAAGAAGTATCAGAATTAAAGAACACTGCCAACTTTGTACTTTTGATTAGAGAAAGAATGTACTTTTGAGGTGAAGAGAGTGATTTGTTTTTTCAGCCAGCTGGTCTTTATTAAATAATTGCTGCTTCTAATATAATATGTCTACACTATAAGGCAGTACACTTTACATTAAATGTGAAGCTTACATTCCTACAGCAGAGCAGCTTATATGCTTGTCTAACAGCATGCCTTGAAGTTGAAAAGATATTTTAATGTTAGAATTCATCGAGTAGTTTTAACTTTTAAAAGCAAACATCTAACTAACACATTTAGAGAGACTAACGACAAAATTTTGCCTGCTTTTCATGTTTAAATAGCACGTCACCAAACTGAAAATAAAATTTGAGCCACAATGTAAACACGCCTTAAATTTATAAACACCTTTCTTCAAATAAGTGCCCCCAATCCCCTTTTCTCAAAAAAGGGGCACTTGGAGCTATTCAATTTATTATTTAATTGGTAGAGCACTGCACCGGTATCACAGAGGTCAAGGGTTCGAATCCCGTACAAGCCTGAATTTTTTTCAGGCTTTCTTTTTGCAACTGCAAAAGTTGCGTATATAACTGCGATGATCATCCTTCATTTAATTCTTCACTCTGCAGTTCACATATATGATTTTCTTATATTCAAAACTTCACTATTATACCCTCTGCAAAAACAACTCTTTAACAGTAACTTTAAATTAAGTCTATATACCCAGATATTATTTTTACCTCTTGTGAAGGAACAGCTTTCTAAACTTATCCTTTTCAATGTTGGTAAAGGTGTCATAAACAACTGCCAGAAGCTGATATTAAAAGGAGAAATTACTGTCATTGAAACCCAAAAATGGTATGTTACAAGGCCACAAAATATTGTCTCTTGCAAAAGTTCAAAGGTTTGTTTTATTTAAGGAGTCTTGCCAGTCTGAATTTTTGAGTAGATCTGATTCTTTTCACATCAGAGGTCTGAGTTTCCTTTACACTTCTTTGAAATATATGGATGAAATGCTATTAAAGGAGTGACAACTTATTCAACTATACCGATGATTTTACAAAAAATAAACAGTTGAAAACAGTTTTCTGCAATGCACGAGGAATGTGCTTTATTATTATTACTAGGGTATCTAAAAGATAGTAATGCTGCGGCACATTCTGTTGATACTGGCACTGGCAGTGTTGATAGTTAGGCAGTGAGACTTAAAAGAATCAAAAATGACATTGAATGTCCTATTTACATGTTGGAAAGTGCTAGAATAATTACTATCAGTCTATAGAAAGAACTCGTGGGAATGTTGTTTAGAAAATGATCAAGTGGTTATCAACTCTGGTTTTCCCACAGTAAATTGTAGGAAATAATAGAAATTCAGATTGTTTATCCATATATTTAATATACGGTGCACGATATTTTCTCTGGAAACACAATACTTTTCTTGCTGTTTGTTGCACTTTATTAAGTAACAGTTATTTAGCTATATATTTATAGAAAACAACAACACAAAAAACGGAAAAAAAAGAAAGTGGGTATAAATAATCCGGTAGGACTCGAACCCAGCACGCTTGACTGGACGCGACTGCACCTAACCACTACACCACAGAAGCTGATTACATAATTTTGTGGAAAAGTCTTTCATTTTATTCCTTTTCCATGAAACTTCCGCCGGTAAGATGATCGCCAGCCGCATTAACAGAGCTATTAACAGTGAAAAAACAATGTAAACGCATATTCCATGGCAATGAATGAATGAAAGAACATAATTATGCTTTTCAAAACGCCGATACACGTCCTCGTCTGCAAAGTAGGACACAAAACATATGTTTTCTTATCTCGATTTCCGCTGTTATTTTGAAGCGAATTGGTCAAAATCACATCCATTTTCGGCTCATACAGTTTCTGCAGAACAGCATTGCATGACATTTTCTCACTTTCACATCACCTTCTAGCAAGCTGGAATTTGTATATGCCCCGTGTTGCGGAGTCGAAGAGCAAATGCTCATCTTCTTGTCAGGTTTAACACCTGGATGAGTCAAAGGCTCTTGAATTGAAATCCAATCCCCAAGTTAACCATCGTACTCATCTGAAAGACTCCTGCGTGTCTTAAAATTTGGTAAGACCTCTAACCGTGCTGTAGAAAATTTGCCACAGAGATAACTCTAAGTTTGAGCAGCGAACAATGCACTCTCTCACCCACCAAACTTCCTTTTGTTTTTATTTGAGTTGTTCGTGGCGCAATGCACTCTGGTTAAATGCAATGCATTGTGGTAAAAAGTGTGGTTAAATGCAATGCATTGTGGTAAAAAGTGATGAATTCGAGAATTCGTCGCCCCTTATATATTTCCTTTAAATCCTGATTATGTTGCTGCTCGCTCCCTTCGGTCGCTCCGCAGCAATTATCATTATTATTACTATTATTATTTTGTCATGAAATTACATAGTATTTTGCATAAAAAGAGCGCTTGAGGTTGAGAACAAAAAAAATTATTACATGCAACTTTCAGCTTTGGAGACCGCACAGTCAAGTGAAATAAATAAAAAACCTCAATGTACTGCCACAAACGATACAACCTAGTAGAGTTCCTTCTTACCAAATTCATAAGGAAGTAAAGAGTTACTGAAATGTAGACGGCAAAGTAGATGACAAACCAGCGTGATTGATTGTAGGAAGGCATCATCACATCTGGATAGCTAAAGTGCAAAGAAATATTTACATGAAGTATATTTTGGGAATTTATGTTGTCTATATATCATGAACAACAAAAATATAAAACATGGGAGTAACTGGTAACAGTGGAGCTAGGACTTCATTCTAAAGGCATCTACAGGTACTAATTTGTGGAATTCAAGTCTATCATCTAGTTTCATTCTAAATATATTCTGGGAGACATTATGGAAATTGAGGATCAGCGTACTGGTTAAAAATATTTTAGCCTGAAATCAAATTTGACCTTTAAAAAGAGGTGCTTCTGTTAATAATCAATAACCTTTCAGCTTATTATTATCAGAAAATAAACATACTTAGCTGTAGTCAGCAACACAAATAAACTGATGAAACTTCTTCCAAAACTGCTGAAGAACTATTTTCAGAAAAGTATTTGTCAACAAAGACTGCATTATGCACTTAGTTTAGTTACAAGTTACACATATATGGCGGAATCTTTGTTAAGAACTGTCATAACTTTTTAAATTCATGGTAAATTCAAGTGTGAGCTAGAGAACACCCAAGACAACAGAGCACATGCCAGTTCTATTTTAATAGTATAAAGAACAGGAGTACTGACATTACCCTTGGATGGGATGCAAGTTAGTTCATGTGGGGTAATGCCTAACATTAGAGAATATTAGCACCAATGACAAGAAAAGTAAGAGCATGCACCTGTAACTGACTGTGCAAGCATTTTCAAATCTCTTATTAGTTCTGTAATGACTTTCACCTTAAACTCACTTTAAAACAAACTGAGTAGCAAAACAAGATATGCAACCCTGCTTTAAATTGGTTTGTTGAAGGTAAAACAGGTAAGGTTGTTTAAATTATAAGCGTTTTGTTTTAATTATAAGCGTTTTGAGATCAATCGTCAAGAAATATTCCCTGCAAGTTTTAAGAACATTGAAAACAGGGAAGGCTTTTAAATAGGGCCCCAAATATGCCCCATCTGTGATGTTATAATCCGAGTAAGATAATTAAGTATTGCATCCTACACGATGAGCCGTGGCATTCACCATTTCAGCTCTCACTGCTATCGGTGACGACAAGCCAATTATTAGCATATTTCGGATGTTTCTTTGGAAAGTAATCGAGAGTTCTTTTTTATGCAAATTTATATCTTTTGCTAGTTGTGCACGTGCATATGAAACTTGAAAACAATGCCAGTGAATAATTAGGAGGCCCACTTGTAAACACAAAATCTAGGGGGGAAATTGGTTATGTTTGAGGCCCTATTTAACAGCCTTCCCTAGTTTCAATGTTCTTGAAACTTGCAGGGAATATTTCTTGACGATTGATCTCGGGATTGTCGAATTTATAAAAAAATTTATCGAGCGGTTTGTGGAAAAATGCGAAATTTTTAGGCATAGGCCAAATTACCTCCAAAAACTGTATCAAAAGCAGCTGAATCCAAGTTAATAAAATTCTTCTTACTAGCGATCGCCCAGAGCAATTCCCCTCTTTTTTGTATGCAGTTTTCAATGGATTCAAACCACTATGAGATGAAGCCATGATTCCAAAGCTTATCATTTTCTTAAAATATTAACGAATTGTGCGGCTAGAATGCTATTTCACTGCTTTGATGATTCTTAAAACTGCATTTCAAAATATTTCGAAAACGCTCTCATAGAATTTCTATAAACTTTGCCATAATGGAGGCAATTATGGCAGGTACATACTCCCTTAAGCGATTTCTTCAAAAAACTCCTGGTACAGAGAAACACAAAGATAAATGAAAAACGTAATGGCATCATTACATTGCCATGGAGACTCCGATTGCAATAAAACCCAGATCATAAGAAATTTTCATCTTTATATAATACAGTTGTGGTAACTTTTTTTCCGTATCTTTACTCATGCCGACGTAGTTAATGCTCAAACTTGGGAGGTATCCCCCTAAAAAAATCCAGTCGAGCCACCTTAAGCTTCTTGCAGCAATTCCAGAGATTATGCCTTGTCAATCCCAGGGTATAACTTGCGTTATAACTGCGAGACTGACGTGATATGTTGGGATCATTTTTAGTAATAGATTAATTGCTGGTAACTCCTAATTAATATGAGAGAGATAATAACAAGCAAAGGCAAACCTCATCTTCATCATTGTCAGAAAACAAATAAAATCCTGTGAAGAAAGTTAACAGTTTCTATAAGCAAGAAAACATATGCCTCACCATCTTATGTTAACAGTAATGACAGGGCTTTTTGTCCCTAAGCTACATAAAGATGTAGAAAATAAATATTTACTTCAAACTCGGGTAAAAGACAGTTATTAATAAAAATGGAATTAAAGTGACCTAAAATGCACAGCTAAATAGAGGAGATAGATTTTCTTTGTTTTATGTTGTTTTTTATGAGTAAACAGACTAGCTAGTTTCGCGACCTCTTACGTCGCCTGCCATTTACGGAAGAAAAGTTATGCTAAAACATGCCGTTGATGACTTTCCTTTACAAAACATATAAGTTTGGATTTATGTTTAACTTATGGTTGTCTTACAAGTTAGTTTCAATTTTGGAGCCTAAGTTTTGCAAGCTGGCCATCAGATAACATGAAAATTCCTGCACAAGGCCGTCATGGGAGTTTGCCTAAAAAGTGGCTTGGCATTCTTCAACTGGTAGTCAAATAATTCTTTTCGAAAAAAGTTGCCGTCCCTGAATACACAGAAAGATGAGAACGCGCTGGAAAGATGAGAAACACTTTTCCAAAGAAAAAATCTGATGCTCCCTGCTGGGGAAAAGGTACATTTTATTTGAAGACAAGAACATCATAGATGTAAGCATACTATAAGCTTGGAAATATTTTGAATGAACAATAAAACAATCACTCTCATAATCATCAGCTTACCCAACATTGCAAATATCAGTATGACAAACAATAAAAGGATCAGCATATCCAAAATGGGTGGAAGTGAGAGTAGAATTTGTCGAAGGGATCTGTGGGGCACAGAAAAAAAATCATATTCAGACAGCCTTTAACAACCAAAGACAAGAAACTGAGCAGAGAATAAACTAAAAGAAATATTTCTTTGGAATTCCTGTAGAGGAAACAGAAGTAATGTAAAAACAAACTTAGTTATAGCCTAGGGAAAACAGGGAGAACAATATGCAGTGCTACAATCAATAATATAAATTATTATAATATAGAATGCATTTAAATGCAATTCAAAGTAGCTAACAACAAAGAGCATCTTCAGTGCTAATGCTTTATGGTTGGTCTATTTGTTCATGGCTAACATCATTCATGTGATTCCGTGGCACGAGGAGGTTCCTTTATGCAGCATTTTGTGCCAGAACGTTTCTCTTTCAGCCAGTTTTAATGCCCCACCCCCTCCTTGTTGTTTTTTTCCCACTGATATTTTTTCACTGTGACAGGTGCCTGTTTTTCCTTTTGCAGATGCTCATGGCTGGGTTACGTGGTTGTGCTAGCCATGGAGTCATTATTCATTCTAGGGGCTGGCTACCAAAAGTGGAGCTACTGCAGGCACCCAACCTCCATATGGTGATGCAGTTGTTAAATTTTAAAATAATAACTAATACTTCCAAAAATGCAAAGCATGCCCAATAATGCTTACCTTCTCACTCCATAACAGTAATGAGTGTCTATCAGAAACAGAGGTCGCAGAGCTCGCGTAACTCGGAAGTGATTCTCCATTCTTATAAGAACGGTAATTGCTTCTGCGTACATCACAACTAAAATAACAATCTATAGTGGGAAAAGAAAGAAATAAAATGGCGTGATGTGGTACCTCCAGCTTGCTTTCTAATCACAGCAATTCAAGCTCACGACTTAACATTTAATGAGCAACTTTTTTTTTTTTCTTTTCTTTAAAAAACAAAAGAAAGAACATTTGGGGTTATTCACTTTTTTCGTATTTTACCACAATGGCTTAAGGTGTTTATAAGCGAAACACAATCCTCCTACTTAAACGCTAGGTACAGTAAATAATATGCTGCATTCATAAAGGGTTCACTTTCATTATTAAGCTGCTTCGAAAGATATAAAAAAAATAACATGCCCTAAGTTGACTGCACAAACAGTACATCTACCTCTTTCAAAGCTGATGACTTAGATAATTTTCACCTGCCTCAGTGTGGAGTACAAAAGAACATATTTTGAAGGTTTACAAATTACATGGAAATTATTGATATTAAGTTATTAAATAATATTTAACTTGGAATAATGGGTAATGCTGCATTTTTATAAGTTCAAAGAAACAGATGTTTTTTGTTGTAACATATACCACAACTTCATCAAGTTTGTAAAGACAACTGACAAAAACGTGTGGAAAGTCATAAAAACGTAAGATAAACATGAAACTGTAGGTACCAACTGTTTGCAGTTGATATGTGCAATAATTAGTGTGAAGCCTCAAACCTTGAAAAGTGTCCTCTTGTGAGTAAAGTAGAACTTTGCTCCTTGCCACTTAAGTTTCACACCACATCCACAAGCAATGACTGACAATGAAAAAATTTCAAGAGCTCCATGGACCTGAAAATTGATCACAAAAGGTTGTATGCATGAGATTACATCAAATCCTCACTTGCTTAGTTAGGAGATGGCCATTCTGACCAATTACAATGTTACTGAGCAAAAGGGCTTTTACCAATTATGCTAAGCTTTTTTATTCTCATCATATTTCTTTCAGCAACGGCATTACAGTTGACTCTCTTTACAGACACCGCTATAAGACAGACACTAAGTAAAACGGACATCTAGAATAATTATTGGTCCCTGCTTTCCTATACTCCCTTTTTAACTCTCTATAAGACAGCATCACTCTTACTGTTAGACAGACACTTAGAGTGGGCCCCAAAGGTTTGCATCTTAAAGAAAGTTCACTGTATAGGGAAAAATTTGATGATGGTCAAACAGCTACAAAGTTTAACACAAATACAAAATATAAATGGACTTCTTAGGGTGATGTACCACTGAGTGGAGGAATGTTTTGACTGCTTGTAGCATAGTCTGTGAATATGCTTTCAGACAGGCTCGGGGGCGGGGGGGGGGGGGGGGATCTTTTATATCTTGAGGGGTTTTTTTACAGCACGGGTTTAAGCCCTAAAGGGAAAGAAACTCTGGGCGGGGCCCTGGGGGTTTTATTATTTACCCAAAAAAACTGAAACGGTGTAACAATTCCCAGATAAAAAAGAAAAGGAAGTNAGTGCACCATCTAAGAGCCACCCATTTGAGCTATATACCAGATGGTAGCATTAAAGGGGCTGTGTCACGACAGTCCAGTTCATTTTGTTTAATTTTGCCAATTACTCACCCTCAATTGTTATGGAACTTAAAGTATGCAAAGAAATTACATGGAAATGACAAAATCAGAGATTCGAGACAAACAAATATGTCTCCTGAGCATTATTTTTGAAGTTGCCAACAGCAGAGATCAACTTTGAAAAACTGTTAGGCTGAACAGTTTTCAAAAATCCTAATTTCAATCCATTTCAGTCTTCTTCAGTTTTGCCCATCTGTGGCATCTGTTGTATCTGTTGTGTTATTTTAACCTTCCTTTAATGTTTTAAGTGGTTATTTTTACGTTTCTCTTAATTTAACGGGCATTTTGAAATGACCTAATTTGACTGAATTTTGTGACACAGTTCCTTTAACTACTTACGGGTACTGGCAAAAACAATATATCATTTGCTGAAACGTCTCCATTGCCAGGTCTTTCAGTGAGTGCCAGACAAAGAAGAAGCAAAGAAGCCACCATATCCACCAAATAGAAACATGTAGAGTGAGCTCGGAGGTACCATCGCATTGTTTCACGGGAGGGGTGGGTCTTAAATTGGTCATTATTCTGTCCCTCTTGGAGGAATATAGCAGCATCCTGGAGAAAAAAAAAACAAATTATGGAATCATACACTGGTGCACACCAGTAGAACTTTCTTGGGTACAGAGAAAGCCATATCTGATAACCTGGGGCTAGTTAATATGGGGCTAGTACCTTTCTCTTGCTCAATAAGCAGAGAAATAATTTTAGGGGGTATTATTACAGTACCGCTCAAAAGTAAGTTGATACTCGAGACTCGAACCTCGCATTGTGAAGCTCAAATGCTTCAAGTTTCCAGACGCGAGGATTGAGTCCCAAGTTTTGAGTTTTGAGCTTTGAGAAGCAAGGTTTTTATGTGAAATTATTTTTGTACAGTCACACAAAGGTTCAGAAATTTGCACCGTCGATCAGTTCTTGCCGTGCAGTGTACAGTATTAAACTGTTTGAATTGCCAGCTTCGGCAAGCTTTCAATAAGTGTAAATCAATATTTTCGGTTTCGGAGATTTATCCTGCATTTACAGTTTATGTAGTTTTTGCTCGCCATGTTCTGAGATTTTAACAGATGAACGGTGAGGCTCAGCAATTCTGTCACCTGCCGTGGTTTTCATGCAAATCTTAATAAAGATTTATACGATAAAATATCTTTGTCAAAAGTGGTATTTTTACAAGCATTTGAGTTTGCTACTAAACGCTTTCGTGTAAATGTGGCTTAGAACGATTTCGTACATGTGTTTAAACATTAAATGTAAAAGACTAAATTTTAGTCTTTTACTGGCCAAATATTAAATTTCGAAAACACATCTCGGCAGCAAATCCCTGGCTTGTCACGCTTGTATGTAAATCTACATAAAGTCACACAATAATTTCAGGGAAAACTTTATTTGTTTTAGGGACCAATTGGGGGGTCAGGGGGGTTCAGAAAAAAGTGGTGTATCAAAACTTTACCCCCCCCCCTTCAAAAAAAATAATTACATATGAAAATTGAACCCCCCTCAGCAATAACAATTTTTAAAATGCAATCCGCCCTACCCCTCCAACTCCTTCTAGACCAAGTCTCTTTTGCCATCCTTGGGCATTGATTTCATAAGCTATAAAGGGGTGTTTACATGAGTCACCCTGGAGCAAGTTCACTTCGGTTGCCTCTCATGGCGCTACATGACATACTGTGTTGGTATCATGTAAACAAATTTTGTTTACATGATACCAACACAAAATGTCATGCCGGCGAGAGTCATCCTGGTGTGAGTTCACCCTGGTTGTTGTACCGGGGCGAGAATTTCACTCCGGTACGAAATCTCGCAACGGTATCTATAAACGTAACGAGATATGAAACCACCCTGTCACTATGTAAACATGATAAGAAATCAAAAAAGCCATGCCAGTATGAAACTCACACCAGCGCAAGTTTTCTCATGTAAACACCCCCTAAGATACTGGTAGTTGGCAGCGTAGCGTGAGATTTCGAAGGTGCACACAGGGGAAGAAAAGTTAGCATGCTGAAGGCGCCCCAAACCTGGGGGAGTCTGAGGGCATGTTCCCCCAGAAAATGTTTAAATTCGGGGTCTCGGAAATGCCATCTCCTGCGTTTTCTGCAGGACATTTTCAGTGAATAAAGACGAAGGAAAATGCAGTAATTAGTTGTTTATTTCACCCATCTATCTCTAGTGTTATCAGTAAGGTACAGACTGTTTATGGCAAAAGGGTAAAACAGTGACACCATCAGGAACGTTACAAGCAAAGTGCAAGATGTGTACCCTTCAGATGGGCAAACTCTGTTATAATGCCATCGATATCAATTACATTCTTGTGCTTGTGTACATGCAGGATTGCAAGAGAGCTCAATAAAGTCCTTTGTAAAGGAAATCGCTGTCCCTTCATACCAGTGAAGCTACGCTCAGCTGTGCATGTTGACACAGGATAAGTCAACAAAGTTATGAGACCTACATTATACTCCGGGATAGAATTGTAGTTGGCTTGGTGGTCAAAAGCCTCAACCAAAGTCTGTGGCTTCACATTCAGATCCATTTCACTGCACTTAACATGGGCACCCAACGACGGTTTCCTCCAAAATACGTTGAAAACACTTTTTAGGCTACCAGTGTACTTTTAGATCTCTAGAAATGCATTCTAAGCAGCGCTACAAAATTTTTATCTATTCGGTCATCCTAGGGGAACTTAAGTCTTTTCGAAATTACAAGGGCTTCAGTATTATTTCCAAAAATTTTAGGTGCAATATAACGTTTTACGAAAGTGAGAATTTTTCTGATTCCTCTCTCCATCACATTTTAGCCTCCAGAAATTTTATGTTTCCTTTTTTCTTAGAAAAATAGTGTAACCTGGGTAGTAAAATATGAAAAACAAGAACCCCATAATGGGGTCACATTAGGTCTGCCGGTTTGCGTGACAGTTTGTCATGCTGCGCCAAAATTACATCCCAGCCTACCACACAGACGTTCTTAGGGTTTTGTCACGCATTCCTTCCCCACTGCCTGACGAGCAAAAAGAAGGTCGGTGTAGGAGGCCAAAATTGCCCCCCATTTCAAAAATTCTAGTCGTGGTTATAGAAAGTATAAGAGATTTGAAATGCCTTCATAGTCTGTTCGAATATTGCCGCCCCTGTAGAATATTAGCTAACGAAAGCGTAAACGCGGCCTCTGAGAATCTGAATTACTTAAATATCGCACTTAATTAAACAATGCCCCACTAGAAAAGAAACTTCATACATTTTTTCGGAACTACTCCAAGGCAGTGAACGATGACAGATCAGGATATCACAATTCAAATACGAAAAAATATACGTTTCAGAAGCAATATTCCAGTAAAGCTTTCTTTTATGAAGATATGAAAAGACAAAGAATTTATGAATAGTCTTACTTACCTCTAGTTACGATTCTAACCCGGTAAAAATGTCACACAAAAACACCGTAAAAACACAACGTGCGAAAGAAAACTCCGCCATCTTCTAAGAACAAACTCAATCGCAATGCACTATGGGAAGACGTTCACTCCTCCTCTTGGGAGCCTATTGTTACAAATGCCAGGGGAGGTGGGGGGATGTACCATGGATTGCATGCGGCGTGTGTGCAGGGCCCATTTGATGGGCTGTTGGCAGGGCTGTTGGTGTGTATTAGTAACAGGTAAAGACTGGATCGAACCGCGGAAACCGCGCGTGAAAAGTGTCTGGCACTTTTTTTTTTAATAAGGTAAGGACTTGAATGCAGCAATAATCAAATGGTTATACTTGAGGAGATTTGCCACAAATATATGCATATTCTTCCAAAATAGCATTTATATATTAGTTTTGAGCCAGACATCTTGGCGCTTGAGTGACATAACATTTATTATTTTACATCAACATTTGTTTGTAAAAACATGATAAAGGAATGCAGAGCTGTCGGTCCAGACTGAGACTTTTTGCCGATTACTTTTTCGGTCCGCCAACTTTTATGTGCTAAAAATAACATCCTCTTCTTCCCCGTATTTTCCAGATCTTGGATAATGTAAATAGCGTAATTCAAGTTCATGGAACGTCTTCACAAACGTGAAATAAAGATCAATAAATGTGAAATGACCCCAGAAATATTTGCATGAATGTATGCTTCACAATTGACTGGCTTTCTGCTAAAACGTGAGTTCAATCACGCCAAGAGAAAAATGTAAAATAAAATAAAAACAACATTTACCCTCGAATCGTTGCTTTTTGACCTCTTCCAAAGGCCTTGAAGGAAATTGCTTGCCAAGACTCGAGGGCTGAAGTTTGTATTCGTGCTTCCATTCAGTTCTTTTTATTTAATTTGAACACCGGCAAATCTTTGATACGGCAACGCCGACATCACTGCGACATAGGATTCAATTCACTCAGTTTCCTAGCCTTAACCATTAAACTTAAGAGTAATTTGCTGTTCGGTGTTCCAGTTTTTTTTGTATTTGTTTATTATCGATACAGTTTATCTTAGAGCTCGAATGGGATCCTTTGGTAAGATAAATGCTGTTGTTTTTTCATTAACACATAAAACTTTCAGTTGAACTTTTCCGACAACATCTGAGTTGTTTGTTTCCATACAGCAGTTCACAGTGCAATGTTCAGTCACAGTTTCATCAATTGTAATCATAGTTTGCTCATCATCTTACAAAATCTTTGATTTCACGGACCATATGAGGCGGCCTCCATTTAGCCTGCGTAGCAAGCGTTTCCAATCGAGTTATTGCGCGAAAGTTTTGTCCCAGCTTTCTAGACGAACCTCGCGAGGAAACGCTTGCTACGCAGGCTAGCGTCCATTTTTTGATTGGGCTTTGCCCGAAGTAGCATGCGAACAGCAGACGCATTTCCGGTCGTCGCTTCTCTCCCTCCGAAAAATAGCTATTTTCGGAGGGAGAGAAGCGAAGACCGGAAATGCGTCTGCTGTTCGCAGGCTATGCCCGAAGGGCAGCCCAATAATTAACCTTCAGAAAAACGAAGGGAATTTATTAGACAAGCTTCGAAAATTGCACATGAATGGAACGTTCATCTAGAAATGTGTAGCCGTCCTCCAGCAAAAGAAAATTCTAGCCAATGACCTGCTTCTCGACCTTTTCCGAACAGATATTTTATAGAAAACACTCAGTCCTTGGGTGCCCCTGACTTAATAAGTCAAAGGATAAAGGAAATCCTAACACAAAAACACCAATATAATGCGAAATATTTATCCGAATTTAATGATAAAAATACTTTCAGGAAATTAAAAAAAAGAATCTATATATTTTTCCAGATTTCAGCTGTGTGCATAGGCATATGTGCGTACATGCATGGTATGTGGAAATAGCTGAAAGGTTTCTGGGCCAAGCTTTATAAGGGTAACATATTGTTTTGCTTTTTCTTTTCTAGCCCCCGTTGAAGGTTTGTTTTGCAGGCCGAAATATGGGGCAAATATAATTCACCACTTTATTTTTGTTTTCTTTATTTTTTCTACCACTCTTCCTGCCGTAAGGATCAGGTTACTGTTTTAAGTTTAAAATTTGGTACTCAAGATTTTACTGATCCACATCTACTAAAGATAAGGCGGACCCTCACTGGTTTGTC